TGATATAGGTACATTAATAAACAGGACTTTCTTTCTTTCCCTAATAACCATGAAAACGCTGGTGTGATTCCTGGCTGTAGTAAAGGAACTATTTCTTCCCTACAAGCAAATGTGAAACCAACGAGAGAAGATTGCTATGTTTATGTGGAGATTGTTTTATACATATGCGTGTGTGCGTGTGTATGTACACATATATGAAATAGCCTATATATATATATATACATATATATATATAAATGTGTTTAATATGCAAACCCATCTGTGGTACATTAACTTTAGTTACCATCTACGTTTCTTTAAAAAAAATAATAAATGTTTTTTTACTGCTTCCATAATGACTCTCTCAGGAAATTGATTTTTAAATAATTGAGAGCTAAAGGAATTGCTTGCTTATGATGCTTTCACATTCCTGTGCTGTGGTGGCACTTTCATGTGTTCAGACCTTGTCTTTACCAATAACACGATTCTACGCAGAGCAAGAGTGTTGTTGCCATCTCCTGTTAGGCTGCTCCTGCTTTTGTCTATCACACAAAATAAAGGGTGTGAAATCCTGGGGGCTGGTTTGCCTTTGTGGGCAGAATATTGCTCCTGAGAGATTACTTCGGAAACTTTTTAAATGAGGGAGAGTTATTAAATAAATCCTGTTAATTTTTTTGTTTGTTTTTACAAATGGGGTGATGCATAGAAGGGACAGAGAAGGCAAACCACATGGGAAGCATGCAAGGTTAGTTTCTCTGGGCACCGTCTCATCACTTGATTAACAGTTGGTTTAAACAAACACACAATAGAAAATAAAGTTTCTATGGGGAGATTTGGAACTTAATTATGCTGCAAGCAGAGAGATTAACAAACATCCAAAACATCATTAGGAGAAAATACTTTATCTTTTGCTCCATTGAGCACTCTGTTTGATTCCCATACAAATCTTATGTTGATTTTGCTTAGAAAGGGACGGTAAAAAATACCGTTGTAAGTGTCTGTAGTCATATTGCATTAATTTACATGAAAGCATACGTGATTGCAATTAGGAGGATGATGTTTTCTGCGTGCTGGGAAACTCAGTCAAGGTATGTCAACATCCAGCTGTGCAAGGTGCTAAGATGCTGTCAAGGTTTGAGACCTAAATTGGTGTTTTCCGTTCTTAGGTGTCAGTCCTACTAAGAGATTATAAACCAGATTTCTTGTTGTTTTGACTCTGAATTTGTTTCCTGATGCTGTGGCCATCCTTCTTCAGAGCCCCCCGCGTGGCTGTACACCATGGCTGTACGCTGCCTCTTCCTGTTGGATGTTACCCTTGCTCAGATCTGCTCCGTAGCAAATTCCCTGAGTGGTTTTAGGGCTTTCTGATTGAAATTTGTCAGTGACAGCTGACGCAAGCAGCTAGCTAGTGGCTGGGAGGCTGTTAGGTTTGGCAGGAAGATAACGATGAGTAGTTTGGGGACAATGAGAAGAAATATCTTGTTCTGCTGGCTCAGCAGGATTTGTTAGTACTCACAGTTTATTTACCACTCAATTACGTGTCTATCAATTACATGGGGAAAAAACAGGCACCTGGCCACTTTTGCCCTAAGGAGGACAAAATGTGGTGCTGGCTATTAAAGTGGACAGACGTTTTTAATATAGACAGAGCTGTCAAGGAAAGATGCCACCGTACTTTTCAGAGCAGAACCATGCCCTCTAACAGGACTGAGGCAACTCAGAAAAAAAAAAAAAAAAAACCTGGTCACCTTGTTTTCAGAGCTGCAAAAATTTTAAGCAGTCCCTTCTCGCTCAGATCTGAGCAGCAAACTAAAATCTTCGTGCCACCAGATGTGCCACATACCTTTAAAAGCTGAAGAAGATCCCATCGGTACATAGCAAGCGGTGGCAGTGGGTCTGCAATATCTAAGCCCCTGGCTTTGTCAGACAGGAGGGCAGCCTCTGGGGCTCAGACCCGATGTAGCGGTATGGCAGAGCTGGCCATGGAAGATGGCATGAAATAGCTTAGTTTCTTCCTGGGGTCACTGCTGCCAGCCACGAGCAAGGGAAAGCACTTGTTTGTAAGCGAATGCACAAACACCAAATAAGAAGCGGAGAACAGCTGTGCTACAGAATGAATCAGTGCTGACTGTTCAGTAACTTCTTTTTCCCCATTTGTTGCCTCGCTTACGTCCACTGACAAATTTCCTTCTGAAAACATGGCTTGTCCCGAGTTCAGGTGGAAGGCAAGATTAACTTTCTCACATCCACAAGAGAAAAAAGGACTGTATAGAATAATACTAAAACTTTAAACAAGGATAAATGGTCAGGTTTTGAGACCTGGACGCGTCATGCTTATTTTTAAAGTAGAGAATTCTGCAGACAGAATTGAATCATCAAGTACAGACTCATCCTGACATAGAAGTCATTCAGTAAGATCTGAAAAGCAGCTTTATACTTCTATTGATTGTCTCTTCCTGATGACAGAGTGGTTCTTTATCGTGCATTCTTTCCTGCGGAATCAAATTGCACCATTACCTTACAGAGGTAAATAAAATTATGGGCAACAAGGTTGCCGAGCAAATGCTAGACCCTTTTTCCACAACAGTTTCCTGTGATTAATGAAAATGCTGTGACACTGACCTCTGTGCTGGCTTCCAGCCATCTGCCAGAAGAGTAAATGGCATGCTGTGTATAAACTAAATGCGCATGCATGGTGAGGTAAGAACACTGATAGCTACTTAACTCTTTGAAAGCTTTGGGAGAATGATCCTGGTGATGCTTGCTGTTTGAAAGCTTCCTTTAGACTTAACTTCCGTGAGGGCGTGCTTGGAATGTTATTTCGATTCAGAGAGTTAATGAATGTCCGTGTGTCAATACTGCTGCCGTCTTTCTGCTGATGCAGTTGATGTTTATAGCCGCGAATTTTTCAACAGCTATAAATGGAACATGTATTTGTTTTGTCTGAAGTGCATGGGAAACAGCAAAAAGCTTGATCATAATTTAAGAAATTTGAGGCCAGCGGTTTAAAAAAAGAAAAAACTTAAGTTTCAAAGTTCAGCTTAAAATGTTATGGAATAGCTTCTGGAAGTGAGGCAATAGAGCATGTCAGCTGCAACAGACCAGCAAAGACAGAAGGGCACAGCGTTACTGGCTGTACACTCTGAAATGTGTGCAAACCTGTGGTTTGTTAAGGAAACAGCTCAACACACACATCTGTGACTTTATTGTGTTCAAGTCAAAGGGTACAGCGGTACATAACACCGCCTCTTGGCATGAGGAGAGAAAAAACAGCAGCTTTCATCTTTCTCCTACAAAGCCACGTGCCCTGGCTGAGTGTGACTGACTGAGAAGTCACGTACTCAGCCTCATCCCTCTCCCTGGTGGGTGGAGAAAAAATGGCAATTCAGGTTTCAGCATTTCTGTAATCTCCCTGAGCCTCCCTTTAAACTTGCTGCGCTGTGTGGGAAAGGTGTAAAGATTCTTTGGGGTCCAAAACACACAGAGGACAAAAATCAAGCACTCCAGCATGGTTTGTGGTAAGGCAGCAAGTGAAGTATATATAGCCTGCCGCGTAGCCCCGAAGCAGCGAGTTCCGTTTGGTGACGCTTGGTGACAGCTTAAAATTTCTTTTGGTAACACATGACACGGTTATGTGTGGCCTTTGTTTTAAATGCTCACTACGCAGCATACTGCATCAGGAATTTCAGAAATACTCAGAATTGCCCGTATGCTGTTACTGACTTAGATCTGAGTGCCTGAAGAGTGGATTATTTGCTGGCAAGGAGAACTGCTGTTCCTTTAAGAATGGCTGATACGTGCTCCCTCCTAATGAATATTTCAAGATTAAAATCAATGTGTTACATGTTTCAGACAAGGCTGTTAATCAAGATTAAATAGCTCATTTCCTAAACGGCAATATTATCTACATTTATGTGAGCATGGGCATATATGAGAAAATTTAAGAGCTGCCAGGATTTTTTCCCCTCAAACATAGGAAATGAAAAATGCTGAAAAAAATATTTCAGTATTTTTTTCTATTTTGAGAGAAAGTAAAGTTAGTGTAGTATTAAGTTCTGCTACATATATTCTGCTTCATGTAATTAAGCACCTGCCTTTTTTGTCCTACTTCCTTAATTAAATATAACATTTTCAGTGAAAAGGACACAGAGCTGCTGTGTACCCAGGCCTTGGGGAGAGAGTTAGGGGCAAGAAATGGCATAATCAGTATTAAAAATTCAACTCCAAATTTTATACTTTTAAAATAAATGTTGTCTTCTCCTTACGTTAGCCTACTTGCATGAAACTTCTTCCTTCCATATCTCAACTGCTGAGCAAAGAGCTGTGTGTGACTGCTGTTGTTGCCAGCTACAATTTACCAATGTTACGATGCAAGCTAGAAAAGGACAGGAGGAATCAAAACAACATCAGTGTTGCATTTTTGTTATTTTTCATTTCCTCATCTCACTGGAAAACACAAATACATGAAGTGTGAATAACCTCTTGTGGTTAGTTCCAACATGTGTAAAATGTTCCTGCTGAACTAACTGTACAGGTAACTTTTCACCATTTGTGAGGCAAAGAAATCAGGGTTCCAAATGAGCTGGAAAACAGGACCCTACCATGCAATTTATACCTAGACTCTCCACCCAAAGACGTAATCAGAAATACCTGCTGATAATATCTTTTTTTGTTAGTTTTTTTATTTTATCCTTCTTTTCATTTTTCTGAATATGCAGGCTGTATGCTTTTCTTCTGTAGTGATTTCTAATGTTAATGTGTGCCTTTGAGCAGTATCCCTCAACGTCATTATTTCAAGATCTTATATATGCAGCTATTTTACATATTCATTATTTTTCTTAAGGCCTAGGGCGATGAAAAATATTATTTAGAAAAAATGCTTATAGGAAAATATCATTATGAAAAAGCATAATACATGGGCTACTCACTTCATGGTTAGTTTTTAATCTCCTTTGTGAAGTTTAAATTAAAATTATATATGTTTACTTTCCTTTTTTTCTAATATTTTGATTTGATTTCAGGTTACTATTGGCCAACTGTATTCCACGCAGAAATTGGTTATCGAGAGTCCAGGAAACACATAGCTATGAGAAGACTGATCCTGAAGCAACACTGGACCATCTTCAGCATCTTACAGTGCCACATACAGATGCATAACGTCACTGCATGTCTGAGCTTTTCTGTTCAGCAGAAGAAATGTCTGAGAGACTCAGTTTTTGGCAACCAAAGTGCTATTTTCTTATGTTTCACACATTCTAAAATGTATTGCTGTGATTTACAATAGCATGTAAGGTAGTCTTGAAATCTGTTTGCTTGTATGTCCTATGTGATAAAATAGTTCCTGTCCTAATTTGGCAATAAAAGTTCATTAAACTACCTGTAACCGGATACGTTCTCCTGCTGCTGACCTTTTCTCTCATTTTGTACGAAAGATATGTTAGATTTAAAACCCTTCATTCAGTTACTAAGAGTAAATTCTTACTTATCCTATTTCATTTAAAAATGTACAGCATCTGAATTAAATCAGTAAATACATAGTTCATTTTAAATATTAAAACCGTATGGTATGAACAGAGCAAGAACATTCCTTGATATTTCAGGAGTTGACAGAAAAGTTGCACTTGTTTCTTCAGTTTGAGAGTTAACAATGAGTTAACAATGAGTTAACAAGAGTTAACAATGTGTCTCACCGTAGCTGCAATAAGGAATAGGTAGTATTGTATATGAGAGAATGTAAGACTTGCAGCTTGAGAGCTCTAAAATATATTTTCACCACTGACTCCTTTTCTTTTTTTTTTTTTTTTTTTGAGGTAAAGCTATTAGCATAAAGTACCAAATCACTTCATGCAAGATTTCCCTTTTTAACAAAATTCCTGGATTCAGTAGAAAAAAAAAAAAAACTACCTATGAAAATAACTCGAGTGCTCTAGATCAGGAATTGGAAGTAAGCTTTTACCCAGCAGAAGTGGAACACTCAGGATAGCTTTTTATTGCTTCTTTTTAAATCTGTAGATTAATCACCATTTTTAAGAAAATACATTTGTTTTTTTTTTTTAAAAAAAGCTATATTTTATATGGGTTCTGTTCAAGTCACTGCTGGGCTTATATTTGTTTTCTATTAGAAACTTGAAGAAAAAATAATCAGTACAAAGCTTTTTAATAGCACTTACAGGGGGTTTCTTTGTTGTTGTGGTCGTTGTCATTTTAAACAGAAGCAGAATGTCAACACTAGTTCCATGACACCGTGGCCTTTAAAAACCTTTTACTTTTCTTGCTTCCCCAAATTCATCTTTGTTTAGACCTTCTACTGTTTTGCATTGCCCGTGCTATGGCAATATTATTCATGCAGAGGATAGACAAAGTATCTTAGAGCAAACTCTCAGTCCTCACAGCCATTTAAAGTATCCTTTATAATTTTGTAGTTATGTAGAAATGTATAGTAATGCATTCCATTAACTATATAGCGTACAGAATAAGATACTACGATGACCTGAGACTACAAATATAGTCTCCATTCTCACTTAAAAAAAAAAAGTACAGTATATCCATTTTTTATTAAAATGGAATTTAATTATTTTGATAAGTAAAATATGTAAGATTCTCATTCTAAAATGAGAACTTCATAACTGGAAAATTCAGTGTGCTTAAGTTAATGGGTGGAAGTGTAGGAGAGGAAAGGTTATTATTTAAGCTTCCAGTGAACTCGAATAAATGTAATAACATCTTACATGTTTAGAGAACACAGGCTTGGAAGCAATGCCAGTTTTACACTCTAAGAAACTTGGCCATCCACAATACGTGCAAAATCTTTCTTTAAAACAGCTTTGTTACTGGCAGCATTACGTACCAAATCAGGATTGGAGAATGTGTGCTAGGAAACAAAATAAACATCCTTGCAAACAGTGTAGTCCTAATGTATGAAGAGGAATGATTGCATCTGTAACGTTTTTACTTTTTAAATCTCAGTTTTCGAGGTATGTTAAAAAAAGGGGGGGGGGGGGGGCAAATAGAGTCCTTTTACATGCATGGTCATTTCTTTCAAAATACTAGTACCTATCGAAGATCTTTATTGTTCAGTTTGTGCTAATAATACAGCTGTAGATGTTACCTGTTGTCATACAGGCATGCAGTCATGTGAATATGAAGTTTCTTATTAATTGCCTTAAAAGTATGAAGGAGATTATTTCTATGTTAAAGCCTGAAAATTATTTTGTTAAGTTTTGAGGGTAGATAAAACACTGCTATGCTCCTAATTTGTGCCATCTGTTCCTGCTTTTTTGTCTCAAGGTTACCGCTCAGGTTCTCCCTTAGCTATCAGTACCCGTAAAGGAGCACTGGTAGTCTTCAGGATACATTCTACAGAAACCCATCAAGAAAAATTAAAATGAGATCCAGATTCTGTACTTTCCTCTTTCCCCAATCTGTAGTGCAGAGGTTAAGACAGTTCGCTTACTCAGTCAAGGAAAATTTAGTTCTTATTCCAAATTAACCGTCAGCTTACCATACAGTATTTATATATCACTTACTAGAAGTAACTTGAGAAATTTCTGCTGCGAAGGACCCAAAGCCTCTATAATACTATCCGACTTGTAAACACAAATGCAAAGGTATTAGTACACGTAAATGGTATACTCCCCAAATCCCACGTAATCACTGCATTTTAGATGTCTATTCCCTGTTTGGGCCAGATCTGTTTCCTTTCCTCACCAACACGCATGTAGTGCACTCCCCATTAGTGTTAGTTACCGGCCTGTCAGCTGTATGGGATTGGAAGATAACTAGAAATATTATTTTGTCTTTTCCTAATGTCTTTTTTTTTTTTTTTTTTTTGTCATAATGTACCCAGCTCTGTGTAAAAACAGCTTTACTGTTGAAATCCTACAAGCTATGGAAGGAAAATACTCAGAAACCTCACCTGGCTTAGGAAGCACAGAGCAGAAATAGTTGTAGGCTGGGACACCTCCTGTTTCACATTCACATGCACTCGCCCTATCCTTGCTCTTTGTTTGGCTTACTCACGCTGTCACTGGTGGAGGCAACGTGCTGGGGAGATGGCACTTTGGCCCAACCTCGTGGTTTCTGTGCCCTTAACTGCTGCACCTTCCCTGCTCCAGCAGCAGAGTTTACGTTGCAGTACTCATTAAATCTCTGTCTTGGCACTCTGTCAGTAGTTTTACTGGATGTTGTCAAAGCAGTGTAAACAACGGGAATAGATCGAACACAAAGGAATGGTCCCGTGATTTATGTAGAGTGTTAACTGTTATAAAAGGAATATCCTTTTTCTTTATAAGAGAAGGCAGGCAGCTCAATAAATATCTATTAAAGCTGCAATGCTTTAAAAAAAAAAAAAAAACTTGCTTTTGTGTTATACTGAAACGTTAGTCTGTCTGTGATCTCAACAGTTTAGCAAGCTATTTACCTCAGTAGTGTGTGCCAAAATTTGACTATCTACATATACTGGTTTGTGATGTATTTTACAATATAAACCTGGAAACAGCTCTCCAAAAGGCAAAAAGAATACTTCATTCAACATTAATAGCTGTTTAAAGGAGAGGCATGCCTGTTGTGTTACAATTTCTCACTAGATTTTACTGCACTTGAAAGCTCAGTTTCAAAATGCGTATAGATATATCAGCAAGAAAGTTCTTCTGAAGTAAAGCCTCCCAGGAGAGCAGCATGTGAACACTTCACATCTGATGATGAAATAGGCCAAGGATTTTAACCTACTACTAACATGTAGGAAAGGGATTTCTGTATGAAACTTCACCAAGTTTCCAAGCATTAAAAGCGTTACTTTTACCTTCTAATATCAACAGGTTGAAGAAAAAATAATTTTACAGAGAAACATCAGCCCCTCAACTTATTTCTTGTAATGCACTGTAAGTGTGTCTCTCTAGGTGTCCAGTACGGACTGTATACACATATATACGTAAATAGAGCCATGAGGAGTTATGCGTTGGCTGTTTTCCGCAGTTTTCCATAATAATTTACAGTGAAATCCTGGCATCACTGAAGTCATGATTACACTGATTGCTTCGTTCCCTGGTTCTTAACATGGGCAACATTATTTCATACTGTAGGAATGTTTTGCTTGATAACATTTATTTAAAAAAAAAAAAAGTGAATGTGTGTAGTTCTTTTAACAAAAGTTTATATTCTTGCTTTTTCTTTTTTCAGTATTTTAGAATAGAAAGTATGTGCACAAAACCTTAATGTGGAAGCAGAAAAAGAAAAAAAAAAAAGAGAGAAACCAGTAATTTCTCTAGTACTGTGCATTTTCTACAATTTCATGATAAAAAAAGGACAGGAACTCTCAAACCTCTTTCACAGACGTATGCTTCTTCAAAGAATTCTGCCGTTTACACAGAGAATTAACTACCATCAGTGTGTTGTAAGAGCTGCTTCTTTCTAAACTTCTTTCCTTTTTTGCGGTTTAAGCCCACTAACTACTGAAGCCTTGCAGGGGCAATGGGAAGTGATGGCAAGACGTGCATTCAGATGACTGTTCTTCTATGTTCGGAGGGAGAGAACTATGGAGACCTGTGAAGAATGCTCAGGCTTTCTACTGAAAGAGTACACCACATAAATATTTATACCAGTCTTTGGAAATATGCTAATCCAAGGCAAGTAATTTTCCCTCTCTTTAATAGAGTCATAAAAAACAATTAAGGTGATTTAATTACTGCCAAGCCCAGAGAACAGATTTTGAACTCTGACAGATGAACATTCATCACAGTGCCATGTTATGCTAACCCTAAAACACAAGTGTCTGAACAGAACAGACAATTAAACCTCCATCATTTCCCCTACCTTCGTGCAATACTTTGGGCTGAATCCAGATCCCAGGAAGTCAATGGGAGCAGAAGCCAGACTTTTCAAGTTCTGACTGAAAGCCCCAGCTTTAAACTAGACACAAGTAGTTTGCATGCAAGCTTGTAGTTCTTCATGATGCCAAAGTAAATTTAACTTCACGGTCCTTTTCTGAAATCATTTCAATCTTAATTTAAACGTTATTATAAGCTGCAAAGAAATGCTTAAAGGACTTTTAACTTTGATGTCCTTCACAGTTACCCAGTATAGAGGTTCAATTGTTTTAAACTTTTGGGGTTTATTCATACTTATAAAATCCTTTGACGTCTATCTCTCTGTTATGCCCTTAAGGGCATGGGGGGAAAAAAAAAAAATAAAAATATATATATATATATATATATAAATCCGCATAAACTGAAAATCTGTAGAGCTGGAGTTCTTCCAAGAGTGCTAACAAATCTTTATCTTTTTTATTTCTTAAGTCGGGGTAGGGAGGGTGTTTGTGAGTACATTCTCCAGAAGCTATGCACTGAGTCTCTATAAAATATTCCATGAACAGTAATGCAACCAAACAGAAAATGTGTTTCTCTTCACATTTTACTCTGTTGGGCTTTTTCATTTCATAGAATTAGAACTAATTCAGTTTGAATCTATTTCTTTGAGAATAAAGTTATATGCTATGTATCTTGACCTACAACATCGAGCAGCAGCCCTGTATTTGGCTATTCAGGGTTGCTAGCACTCAGTACATACATGTTCTACTTCTGATTTTTACACAATGCCCAATGTAATTTTGGTAAAGCCTTGCATTTCCATTGCCCCCAGTAACTTCACCAATGAAAATACAGAGAACTGTGTGCAAGCGGTCTTTGAAACCTGCTTTGGAAATCTCTGCTTATATAAAATCTTAAAAGTACAGAAGTGTACTGTGTACAACAGAGAATGTTTCTACCGCTATAAATAACTGCAACTAGCTATAATTCTTCCGTCTACCTCTGCCCAGATACAGCAATCAGAATATGGCTACTCGTTTAAATCCTGTTTAAGGAGAGAGCCCTCCAGCCCGCCCTTTTTTGGTGAAATTTCCTTCTTCTCTGAAGCAATTAATAAACAAAACACAGAAAAAGGAATGGGTCCCAGAAGTTCAAAGTATTACATTGTACTTAAGTGAAGAATCTATCTTAATACCATTACCAACACGTGCCAGCTTAAAAGCACATTATTTCATTGATACCACTATCTGAAGAAAGGCTAATTCACAGCATATTATTCCATGCAAAGCCCTGTAATCTGATAATGCACTATTCTAAAACAAACTTCTGTGCGGCAGTAACAGAGTTGTCTATTCTTCCTTAAATAACTTCCATACTTTTGGAGAGAGTTTACATGGAACTTGGAAAGCAGCAGTAGGAGCTTCTGTTTGCATGCACAGAGCTTCTACTTTGTGCATTTTTAAAGCAATGATACTGAGCACAGATACAGGTACTGCTCTACTACCAAGACGGCTTCTGGAGGAATTAAACACCACCTTATATTCGGCTGTACTCTTATGCCATAATCTACGGTTTATGTATGTTTTCTTCAAGGAGGGGAAGGGCAGGCTGCGTTTCCAGATTCAGCACGTGTTAGCAAAACTGCAGGGACTGCAGGCTGAAGTTCCCTCTCTTTCACATAATTTCTTCTGCTTCCACCACCTCTGATTCTGTGCCAGCTCACTGAGAGGGCAGGTCATCTGAGCACCTATTGTATAAGTAGGGGGAATTTTATAGAGGTGCAGATTTTCCTAAGGCACATAGAATGGGCTTTAAAATGTTTTGTATCTTCAGAGGAAATGAAGATCTGAGAAAACTCACAGCATGTTCTGTTTTAAAAATGAGGATAATCACTGACGGCCTTGCTAAAGAATACACATCCAAAGGTCAAAGCTTTTTCTGCATCCTGACAATATCTACTTCTTTTTTTTTTTTCCATCAAAAAATTATTGTCAAAGTAAGGCAAGTCAAGCTGCAGAGGAGCCATAAAAAAACCTCTACCAAAACCTTCTTGTTGTCCATCTGTGCTAGCAAAGCTTCCTCCCAGGACAGCTCTCACAAGACGCCTGTTCGGAGAGCATGCCGCACGGCTCTGGCAGGACCCCCGTCCCAAACGCTGCCTGTCAGCTGCCAGCGTTCATGGTTATGGTGAGACTTCGTTGTCAATGCGAGGCGCCCCAACAGCTCCGTCCCCACTGCAGGAGCTGCAACTTGCAGCGCGTTAGGGCCTGGGCACGACCAGGCTGGGGAGCTGCGAACTATCTGGTTACATCCTGCTGGCCGAAGATACAGAAAAAAGATCTATATCAGTGGGCTTTTTAGAAGCTTTTTTACAAGTTTTTATTCATACAAACCCATCTGCATTGGTACGTTTTACTTAGTTTCAGGGCTTGGGACACCAGTGGCAGTCCACCTCCGGGCTTGCAATGCAAGAGTGAAGAGGAAATCAGGTAAGTGTCCAGCGCTGCGGTGCACACAAGCCCCCTTCCCAACAACATACAAATACTAGAAAAGGCACAGCAAAATAAGCTGAATAAATTAAAAATACTTGAGAAATGCAGTGCAAAATGTAACATAAGGAGAGCTGAACTAAAGCATTTGCTTTCATTCATTAGTGAGGATACCCTCTCCGTATCACATTGTCACTCCTCAGTGAGAAGGTCATCCAATTCAGTCACTGCTCCCCAAATATGAAAATACAGAAATGTGTGCGAGACAGGCACCATCTTTTACTTTACATTACTCAACGGTGTTGTTATCAAAGTTCTCCTGACAGACTCAGTATCTGCAAACATTTTTAACTCCTCCCTTGCCCCATTTTTAGGCCCGTCAGTTGTGTGAGAAGCAGCGAGCGGCCTATTTTAAGCAAAAACACTTTTGCAGCAGTCCCCGTTGGCTGCTATTAGCCAGGCGCACGCAGGGATCCGCACCCAAGCCTGGGGAAGGCTGTGAGCGCTATCAGAGCCCGCTGAGTGACAAAAGCCAGGGCAGCCCCGACCCGCACCCAGCTCTGAGGCTGGGGGCACGGCCAAGGTGGGGCAGGCGCTGAAGTTATCAGGGGCCCTCGCTGGGGAGCATCGTATTGTGGTGGAGACCGCTGGACTGGAAAAATAATGCCAACGAGGTGAGGCCCAACGCGGCCGTGCGCGCAGGGGAAGCGGGGCGCTGCGTTAAGGCTCCTGTCACTCGGGCGCTCCAGCGAGCAGGCAGGTGCGGTGAAGCCCGAATCGAAGCCTCAAAAAACAACGTCGAGGAAAAAAGAAAAAGAAATAAAATAATACCTCTCCAAGACCAGCACCAAACCACACGCCACTCAGTCCCCTCACACCCTCCAAAACGTGATAAAAACCGACCCCGCGAGCCACGGCGGGCCCGGTTCCCCCTCAGGTGCCCCCCTCCCGCCCCGTCCCGTCAGTGCCGGGGCCGCCGTCGGGGTGGCGGCGGCACCATCGCAGCGTGTAGTTGCGGCCCTGGTTGTTGTCCCAGTACTCGCCCTGCTGGCTGCGGTAGCGGACAGCGAAGTGCAGGGCCGAGCCCTCCCCCGGGCTCGGCGGCACGCACAGGGTGAAGCCGTAGCGCTCGGCCGGCGCCTCGACGGCGGGGTTGGTGGTGCCGGTGGTGCCGGTGGTGGTGGCGGCGGGGGGCAGGGGCTCCGCCGGGGCGTCCATGAAGGAGAGCCACTCGTTGAAGGTGTATCGCACCGTCACCTCGGCGGGGCCGCCGCTCGGCAGCACCTGCACCGTGCCCCGCACGCCGGCGGCCGAGGCGGGCGGGCAGAGCCGCTCCAGGCACACCCGCTGCCGCCGCAGCCGCTCGGCCGAGGGCGCCCCCCCGTCGGGGAAGTCGGGCTCCAGCAGCAGGGCCCCGCCGCAGGGCAGCCCCGGGGCCGCTCCGGGCTCCTTCGGCTCGACGTGCGGGCTCTGCAGGCGGGACAGGGCGGCGGGCGGCACCCGCGGCTCCTCGGCGTCGCTGAAGTGCTTGACGCTGGCCAGGCTCAGCCCCAGCGAGTCGGCGAACTGCACCCGCTTCTTGCACTTGGGGCAGCAGCCCGGGCCGGCCGCCGCCTCCTCCTCCTCCTCCTCCTCGTCCTCCTCCTCCTCGTCTTCCTCATCCTCCTCTTCCTCCCGCTCCGCGCCGGGGGCCGGCGGCCGTGGGCAGCGACGCAGCTCCAGCAGCAGCAGCCCCTCCGCCCGCTCCCCCGACGGCTGCCGCTTCGCCCCCGCCGCGCCGCTCCCCCAGAGCAGCCGCTGCTCGCCGGGGGCCGTCAGCTCCTGCTGCGGCTGCAAGGGGCTCGCCATGGCCCCCCCGGGCCCTGCCCGTCCCGTCCCGTCCCGTCCCGTCGGGGCCGGCACCGCTTTATCCGGCGCCCCCGCCGCCGGCCCCGGGTGGGGGGCGCGTCCCCCGGCGGGCCCGGAGCCACCCCGCAGGGCTGCGGCGGAGCTGCGGGCGGGGGCGGGCTCTGCCGGCCTCCCTGCCCTGCCCTCCCCTGCCCTCCCCTCCCTTCTCCTCTCCCGGAGCGAACGGGGAGGAAATGCGAGGCGTGTGCGGCGGCCGGGGGGGCGGGCACGGCGTCCCCCCACCGCCTCGCAGCGCCGGGGGCCGCGGTTTCCACAGCGAGGGGCAGAGAGCCGCCAGCAACGGCGCCGGGAGTTTTATGGGGTCTGCAGGCGGGGGAGAACAGCTCTTCCTGGGGCTGTTACTGCTGCTCTGCTGCGGTTACCATTTAGGCTTCCATCCATCGCGCAGCAGAACCAGAGGAGGCCCGAAGAAGAAACACACACACCAGCTTTTACGTTTAGATCAGTTTCCACCCATACTGACTGCTGGGGGAAACTTTGAGAGTTGGACTCTAGGACAACACCCCAAAGGCAGGTAAATGCAACACCAAATGCCTTGAAGACCTGAAGCCCTGTAAATGGAACACCAAATGCATCCATTTTTAACATTATTATTTTTTGAGCAAATCTTGCTGGCTGCTTTTTCTCCCTCCACATTTGTTGCCAGCAGTTCTCCACCTGTGGAAAATAAAGTCCAAAGCCTCTCGAGGCACATGTGCACGTGCACCCTGACTTGAATGTCAGAATGTCTTTGAAGTTCCAAGCTGACAACAACAACAACAAAACTTATCCAGGAGGAAAAACAAAACACAAATTTTACCTTTTAAACAAAGAAGTGGAATTCTGCCTCAAGTTTATTTTCTGAGGGTAATGTATAGTAAACAGTATCCTCCTAACAAGATACTTTTATTACGATGGTGAGACCCATATCTGAGAATTTTTCCAAATTTAATTCCATTGTTTGTGCATGCCATTGCTATTGTCTGTGGATGATTTGCATGGATGATTGCAAAAATACTTCACTCTTAAACTTCCCCTCATTCTGAGGGAAAAGACACTAAAAAGCATATGCAAATAACACTGTACTAGCTGAAGCAATGCACTCCCACTATGGATTTATCTTTTTTGTTGTTGTTGTTCATATTTTAGTTTGGTTTTTATTTGTTTGTTTATTTTGCATAGTTTGTTTTATTTTTGGTATACATTTGGTTGCCAAAATGCATCCTACCAACGTGAGTGAATTCAGTGCTGCCTGACAGAGTGTGCAGTCTGGATCTCACAGAGGAATGAATGTCAGAGCAGCAGAAGCATTACTGAGCAGTTTCCTTAGGAGATAGTGCTGTGATGATATTCGTCCTGCACCTCGAGTGAGAATTGAGCAGCCAACAGTTATTTAGGAGTGCCAAATCGTTTGACTCCTGTAGCTTCTGGCACTGCACTCCACATTTGTTAGCAGTTCATTTTAGAGCATTGTAGGAACAGGAATGAAGGACAAACATTCTCTTTGGCACCAGCTGTGCTAATGGAAAACATTACTAATACCATTTTGCCGTCAACTGCTCATCACCAACACTCTGCTTTAAGTTGCCATGTTCACCAGGCTGTCAGCTGAACTATTCATAGGAGCAGCCCCTCACCTAGCCTGGTCCAAGTGAACAGTGTGCCACCACTTAAGCTCTTTAAACTAGCCACCCTCATTTTAATGGAAGTAAACCACAGAGCTGAGGCCTGCAACATGTTACAAGAAAGCTTCAATGAGGCAGAACAATAAATGGCAGTGCTGTGTCACCGTCCTCTTAACATTCACTTTGACCAAAACAGGTTGCAATGCGGGCCCTTGCTTACCTGTGCCCTGAAATGAGAGCTCATGGCCTACCTGTTCTAGGTTTGTGACAACTAAAATTACCAAGCTGAAATGAAGAAAGATGAATACATAACATGGTTAACAGTGCTTAGTACTTAAAATGTCTTCAAAAATCTTAAGATAAAATACAGTGCGACTACTTTACTTTCTCAAAGTAATACCTATGTTAGAATGAAGAAAACAGAAATGAAGAAGCCAGCACTTACTTCCTCATGTGGTGTTTATTCCACTAAAGCATGCTTTCTCAGCTTGCCAAACCAATTAACAAGTGTTTTAAGCAGCAAAGGGGAAAAATGTGCCATTTGCTGATAATGCAAAACCATTTGGACTAATAGAAATTGAAGAGGAATGTGAAAGGTTTAAGCAAAATAACGGACTGCAAAATGAGAAACTTAATCTAAATATTGATAAAAAAATAAGTAATGTTGTAGGAAGTGATACACATTTTTTATATACTCCATAAATCTGGGAGACAGATCTGCAAAAAGGATTACTGTATGCAAAAAATTTGAAAAAGCAGTTAAGACAACAGGAATCCATATTACATGGAAAGAATCTACATGAGGCAGCAGCATACAAAGAGAAGTTCATTTTTTTTATTGTAATCATTTGCTAGTATTCTGAAAATGAGTATTACTTGAAATCAGATAAATCTTTACAACAGGCATTTCTTTACACAACATTGAAGTGATGTGATGGTGGACATTTATTTAAGGAGGTATTTGGTGTTGCCTCTGAAATATTTCAAAATGGATTCTCTTAAAAGGATGGGGCAACCAGAGCTTCAGACTACCAAGTACTATTTACTGCATTTGTTACTAAAGAAAATGTTGAGATAAAAGTGGAGGGATTTCCTGGTAAGAGACAGCAGAGTCACAGTCAGGAGGCTTTTTGCATTCCCTGGGGTATTGCCAGTTATGTTTACGGTATCATATGACACACAGGATTAACATTGTACATGCACCTTCTTTCTTCTCCTCCCTTCTTGTTTCCCATCTCCTTACCCTGTCCCTCTAATCCCCATCCTGCATTCAATACACATATCCTGCAGGAGCATTTTGATCCTAAGATGGCTACAGAGTGACATGAGAAAAATAGGGATGCACAAATCAGTGGTAAGTGATTCATGGTATTGCTTTCTCAATTCTGACTGCGATTGCATGGTTATATATTTCTCAGGACTTGTTAGATCAAAGATTTTTGTTTGCTGCTTTGGGATGGAGCTCTGTTTGATGTGCAATTTAATAAATTGGTCGAGCTCTTTGGATCAATAGTCATCATTTGGACACAAAATGAACATAAAAGTATTTGTTTGCAGACACCCAGAGTCAAGTAATGGGAGGATTCTGTTCATGCAACTCAGCCACACAGTTTAATCCAGGAGTCCATTCAAATGCTTTTCATCATTTCTTTTTATGCACTTTTAATATTAGCTTCAACCTTCAAACCCCAAACTAGAAGATTTTCCTGTTAGTCCAGATGGAAAGTACTCTACCACGTAGAATGCAGCCAGTTCAAATATGCCGTATCTCTTCAAGTCCCCCCTCAAGTCTTACTTAAGAAAATCTCCTGTAGCTTATCAGACAACTTGAATGACTAATAACTACTAAGAAATATTTAACTATATTTACAGGGATTTGCAAATATGCAGGGATTATCACAGTTCGTACATGAAATTAGTACTTTTTTTTTCTCTCAAATTCTAGCAAAATTGGTTCTGAACTATCTTATTCATTTCAAAAACCACATTCTTCATCCAAGTTGTAGCAGCTGATATGGTTGTACAGAAATGGCAGGGAGGATATTAATAGTCTCCTCAATTACTATTATTTTTTTAAATGCTCCCTAGCCCATGGGAAATTTGAGTTTCTCTGTATTTTTTATAAGGTTAGGATTCAGTTTACTATGTTTGTGACTATGATCACTGACTGAAAGACTCAGTGGGTCTATAAAATCTGACTGGAAGTTATTCAGAAGTAGATTATTAGACCAAATTTTCTTCCTTATGCAGGAAAACCAAGCAGCTGTACTCCAGAAATGCATGGATTAGGTCTGTAATGGAAGAAGTACTGAAATGGAAACAAATATTTGGAAGTGATCACTTTAGTTTCCAAATCTTAAACCCAAAGATTTAAATCCAAGATCCTAATTTTTCTGCAGGATACTCAGCAAACAAAATCCTTCAGAGCTCTGAGCCTTTCAGACAATCTCTTTTAGAGATGTCTGCCATATCTTTCTGGATTTTGGTAAGGCCTTTGATACTGTCCCTCACTGCATCCTTTTGGACAAATTGTCCAGCTGTGAGACAAACAGGTTCACACCACACTGGGTGATGAACTGGCTTGGCAGTAGAGCTCAAAGGGTTGCGGTGAATGGGGCTGCACCTGGCTGGTCACCAGCAGTGCTACCTCCCCGGGGCTCTCTGTAGGTCCCTTCCAACTGAACTATTCTGCTCTGTGTATTCTGTCTTGTCTCTAAAAAGACTTGATGCTGACATTCCTTATGGGAAGTGGAGATTGCTTAAAATATACAGAAATACAGTTTTCCTGAACTATAGCAAGGGCTGTGTTTCCCACAATGACGTGGAATATCCTTTTTAATTACTAGTACCTATTTAGCAATAGGCCAAGGAAGGTCTCTTCATTTGGGTGAAATAACCTTTCTGAAGTTGGAGTTTTGTAATCGATTTCAATCGCTCCAAGATTTCTTCCTCTCATGTGGTATAAACATTGAGCTCATTCTTTGTGATAACCAAGTATATAGCAATGGCACAAAATGATTCATCAATATTTTTTGACTTTCTACTTTGCAGAAATTGCATGGAAAAGATTTAAAATGCTTTAACAAACAATGTGAAAAAAAAAACATATTGAACAAAAACTTTACATTCCCTAAGATTTCAGATTTGGTTCTTGTGGTTTTAAGAGGTGTAAAGGTACCAACCTGTGATTTGTAAGATGTTTATGTCAACTTTTATATATTCACATGGTACCCTGAAAATCGTAAGTCATGGTTGTCAGATGTTTAAGCAGTAAATCATGTGATGATAAAAAAAAAAAACCCTCCTGTGTACAAGCTACCATCCTAATACAGACAGTTCCTGCATTTCAACAAATTAACCCAAAGAGAGAGTATTTGAAAAGGCAAAGTTCAGATAGTCACTAGGAAAAATGGTTTCAGCTTCCAAAATGTGTTTATGTGTTTATGTATATTTTTTGCATATCAATCTAGGAAAAAATATAAT